ACGAAAGAGGCTTACTGTACGGAATCTGTGAAGTTGTATACGCTGGCGCAGTGCACACCTGACCTTTCTAGTAAAGATTGAGACTTCTGCCTTCAAAATGCCATCAACGAGTTACCATCATGTTGTGAATATAAGAAAGGAGGTAGAGTTATTTCCCCTAGCTGCAATATTAGGTATGAGATATACCCCTTCTACAACGCCAAAACCGTCCCTGCACCTGCACCTGCGCCTGCGCCTGCGCCTGCGCCTGCGCCTGCGCCTGCGCCTGCGCCTGCGCCTGCACCTGCACCCGCGCCTGCGCCTGCGCCTAATAACAAACAAGGTAACGTCCTAATGTAAAACATCTCTTTTACCTTAATTCTCACGCATAACCAAACACTAAATAGGGTTCCTAACCTAGCACTACACGTCTGGATATCTCCATCAATTTTTACACGAATGTTAAGTTCAACATAGGCTAGAAAACTTGAATCTGGGTTTTATTTTTTGAAGATACTCAAACAAATATAAATAGAAGCAAGTTTTGAAATCCCAATTTACATTTTTGTTCTTAATACAGGAAACAGGGGAATCTCAATACAAGTTATTATTGCTATCGTTGTTCCAATTGTTGTTGTTTCCTTAGTGGTCTTGCTGGTAGGCTTACATTTCTTGACTGGGAGAACGAAGAAGAAGAAGAAGAAGAAACAATGTGGTACTATAAAGGAGAGAAATGGTAAGCCACGGATGGTCAAAAAGGAAGTAGAAAAATTCCCTTTCGATAGAATTTCTGTAAACTGTATTTGGATGGTGTGATAGCATGAAATGCGCTGATTTACTTTTTGTACATATTCAGCAGTTTTTACTGATTGCATCGATCATTGGTTTTGCACCTTTAAAATAAAATTTCAAGAATTTAAATGTAAAAAGCTTTTTTCTTGTCCTGCACGTTCCTTTTTTTACTCATGATTTGTTGTTTTTGTGTGTAGAAGAAGATGACATTTCGACGGTTGAGGCCCTGCAATATGAGTTTAACACTATAGACCTTGCTACTACCAGCTTTTCTGCTGACAATAAAATTGGAGCAGGTGGATTTGGTGACGTGTACAAGGTAATTTAAGGAATATATA